ATTTTCCGTCAAAATCGTTTCTGCAATGTCAGGTTTGCATATTTTACACATTATCTGTTTATATCACACATACATAAATGAAGATACCGAAAAAAACAAACGAACGCATGATTGAATGAACGAATGAGTGAGTGAATAGATGAATGAACGAACGAAAAAATGAATGAGTGAATAAATGAATGAATGAACGAACCAATTTTATAAAAAGGGATAAATATATGAGTCCACATGAATAACTGTATGCTACTTTTCATACGTGCACAACCTCAATGACTCGTCCGCCCGCGCATACACAAACTTAGTTCGATACTAAGATACATCCATAAAAACTCCAGACCAATGATCCGAGAGTATGGAAAGCCAACATCAGAAATTTATTTCTGTTTTTATAGCGTTGAACATTCTCGGCACACCGAATGCGTATAGTGTTGCGGATGTTTGTCTTATATACTGATCTGAATGGTCATTAATAATTTTTATATATATAATTAATTTTAAATATTAAAAATCGTTTTCTTGACTCTTAAATGAATTCGCTGAATTTATTATCTTTAATTTATAATTTAGAAATTTTACATAAACGCAGTTTTCATTTAAACTGTTTTAATTAAATTTTTTAATGAAAAAAAAGGTTTTGGCGCCATCTAATTTCTATTTCATCTGACAGATCATCCGGCTTAAATGTTTAATGGCTGAGATTTCTAAGATGGATGAGAGTGATAACGACGATGACGACGATGATGAAAATGATAATGATGATGACGATCGATGTTTGTAAGACAGCAATGATGATTATGATTATGATGATGATGATGATGGTTCGAAGATAGTGATGATACTGATTATTATAACACTGATGTGATTTTATAAGATGGTGAGGACGATGATGATGATGCCGATAATGATGATGATGAAGATGACGATAATGATGACGATGACGATCACGTGATGATGATGATGAGAACGATAAAAAAATGATGAACACGACGATGTTTAATGAAGTTTCAGAGGGTGATTATTTTCATAATAAGGAGGTCGATTTTGACGAAGTTGCCGCCATTAATAATATGACGTCATAATGATGTCATATGGCTGTTGTAATTAATAAATTTTGGCGTCACTTATTAATAGATAAAAATCTTAAATATTGATTGCAATAATAAATATAATAAGATAATAATAATAATAATAATAATTGTTTTTGGTGTTGATGATGATGATGTAATGTTGCCATTTTTTCTCTCCATAGTGACGTTATTGTTGATGTTGTTAAAAATGATGATGATGGTGATGATGATGGCAATAACAATTATAATGTTATTCGATCCACCACGGAAGTGATGATGATGATAGTGATGATGGTGATGATGCTATTGTGGTTTTTGGTGTCATGTGGTTATATGCATTTTAGTCCAAACAAGGCAGACGTTTTTAATTCATCTCCGTATTTCAATAAAAGTTTTACCGCGAAATCGCTGCGATAAATAAAACCGGAAACCATTACATTCGGCCTGCATACAACGACGACGAAGATCATGATGTTGTTATGATGATGATGATGATTGGGATGTTGTGGTGATAATTATGATGTTGTTTTGGTGATGATGATGATGATTGCGATGTTATGATGATGATTATGATGTTGTTATGGTGATGATGATGATTGTGGTGTTGTGGTGATGATTATGATGATTATGGCTTCGTGGCAATGATGATGATGATGATAATGACATTTTTTAACGAATTTTTTGTTTTTTAAACTAAACGTTAAATTTATTTCTTTGATTTCTTTTCTTATTTTATTATTATTGTTATTTGTTATTCTTATTTTTATAGATTGTATTTTCGTACAATTCTAACAAACAAAACTAATTTGAAATACAAATTCATTTGAATAAAAAATAACAAAAACAAATAATGGATAAAAAATGTCGGAATAAATATTTTTTCATGTATACAAAGAAACGCAATTAATTTGGCGGAGGGTATGTTTGCTGGAGCATATCAAGCGTTCGATCGATTGCATTATTAAATTCCACGCTACTAACGTGACGAGTTTTTGCAGCGAAAGGAGAGACCACCGCTGCTGCTACTACTACTACTACTACTACTACTACTACTACTACTACTGCTACTACTACTACTACTACTAATAATAATAATAATAATAATACTTTTACTGCTGCTGCTACTGTTGCTGCTACTATTGCTGCTACTGCTGCTACTATTGCTGCTACTGCTGCCACTACTACTACTTTTACAGTTGTTGACTCTTTTGAATTTTGGAAAGGGTAAAAACTGTTCTTTTTTAATTAGCAACAAAAACACTGTATCCATAAAATATTTATGTATTACTTTGAGATTAACGATTCAATTTCAAAATATAAATTTAATTCTCTCAAGTTTGCCATAGAATGCAGCTTCTAATGTTCTAATTTTTGGCCAGTTATGCAACATTGAAAGCATTTTGCCAGCCAATTAGTAAAAATTAATGAATACAAAATTGATAAAAATGTTTTAATGCATGAATAGGATGCATGTGCGTGATGCAATGCAGGTTTCATCTACCATCATCGCCCAACGTTTCTAAATTAAAAGACGAAGCAAAAGTTATACATTTCTAGTCACAAAGTGCAGATTAAAATATTTAAAAATTTTTTGTTAAAATAAATACAAACCGTTCTTCAAATGTGTATTACATTTGTGTATGAGTGAATTCTATTTTTTAGGTTAAGCACAAAATACACACCAGAGTTGATGATATACACATAAATAAATTGTGAGAAATTCTCCGAATGTATATGTATAAGTTGTATTAGATATAGGGGTAATAGTCCTTAGTGGTAATTTTGTCGCCGTCCAAGTGGCTGTTTTGTGTAAGCAAAAGTACAAATTCGTTGAATAAATTTTTAGACTGGCATGCAACTTTTAATGTTGGCCTTGCTGTTCACTTTGCTGTTCTATTGGCCAACGCTCATTGCAGCAGCAGCTCTGGTAGTGGCAGTGGTAGCGACAATGACGCTGTTGACACTTACGGATTTGTTTGCATTTTAAAAATTATTTGTTCAGAACATCATGATCACGAATTTGTTTTTGCGAGCGTGTATGTATGCGCGTGTAAGTGTGTGTACGTGTTTGCACAGATGTACACGTGCGAGTGTAATTTTTAATATTGAACGAACTTCCTGTGAAACTTCTAACATAGCTTGATTAAACGTCACGCCTCGTTTCGATTTTTATTGCACCGTGTTGTTTCATAGCTGATGTCAAAGAGTTTAAAAGGATGCAACATTTTGAAGAGTGACGGATGGTCATAAAAATTGAAACTGTTTCAAGACTCAAGAAGTAAGAAATTCACAATGTTTAATTTAATTTATATTTTCTCAACTTTCATTTGAAAGGTTCTTAATTAAATATTATCAACATAATCAATATCAAATCATCATCAGATACTATTCTACCCTAAAACATTCAGATACATTGAAAATATTCAACATCACTGAACAAATAACCTTAATAAAAACAAATTCAGTGTAAAGAAATAAAGGAAAGCTGGATAAAAAAGATAGACATTGAATAAGATTGATTGACTACCAACAAAAATTTGTGTTTATATGTGTGTGCGTGTTAAAAGATGGAGAACTGTGTGTGTGCGCGCGCGTGTGTGTGTGTGAATGTGTGTTTGTTTGTGTTAACTTTGCGATTTTTCAAAATAAATACAAAGTAAAAATGTTAAAATGCCAAGACCCAAGACAACCCGCGTCAACGATGCTCTTCTGTCAATCTCAAACCGTCAAAAACTTTTTTAAACCTCTCTTTCAACATTTTAGATTTGGTATTTTTGTTTTTTGTTATTTATTTATTTAATAAAAATAGGATTAAGTTTGTTAAACAAGCTTATAGATATAAAACTAAAAAGAAGTCCCATTGAATCGAACTACGAAATTTTGGTTATAGACAAAAAATATAGACGAACAAAAGTTAAACCACCTAACCAACCAAACAAACAATAAACAAACAAAAAAAAACCCAAAACATTAAGCAAACGTACATGCGAACAAACATTTACATTATATGCTTTTCATGCGACAACACATCATTAATATTCATACAAAACAATTGCTTGGCAAACAGTGTTTCATGTTTTGAAATAGTTTAATTTTTTCTTTAAAAAATTTTAAACTTATAATCGTAAATGAACTGCTAAAATGTTAGTTAATGATTTTTTTGTAATTTTATGTTAAAATAAAATACATATTTTTAAATTTAAATTTTCGTATGATTAATAAATCATAACTACTACTAAATACAGTAAATAACAACATTATATCACGTTAAATCAAATCTCACAACTACACATTAATTCCTGATTTCAAAAATAAATTTCAATTTTAAAAAGAAGTCATATTTCACGTTGTGTATGCGGTGTTTGCGGGAAAATTTGAACACACACTCACCACACACACCACACACCACACACACACACACACACGCACACGCACGCACACAATAAAAAAGGGCAATTAGGAAAAGTCAAAGTGAGGCATAGCACCAATCCGTTAAAACACGTTTTATAGCTCATTCATCTGTCTGCGAGCGAGCAAAGATAATAAATACATCACAATTAGTACTAATTAGTCAGTTTGAGATTGTCATGTTTCGCCCTATTGCGCCGTGACCTGGTTCGAATGCTGCCTGATGAACCGCAAAGTCTACTATGTTTATGTACATGGAGTGGTGTAGATGTTGCAGGCTTGCGTCACGAATGTTTTGCATTTGATTATTGATACTGTCATTTTCAAATGCTTTCAATTAATAGAATATATCTAAAGATTTATTAATTTTATAAAAAAAGAGTTTTTTTATTTTTGATTGTACTTTTTCGTGAATTAAATTTTTTATAAATTTTTTGAAAATAGTGGTGAAAATTTGAAGAAAATTGTCGAGTTTCTCGTTTTTTTTTATTTTTATTTTTTCCATTGTTCTTTTCATTTGATTCCTTAGCGAGGATGATTAATGAAAGGATTGTTAGATGTAAGTTGTGTGGTAATTAATGACTTCTGTGTGTGTGTGTCTGTGTGTGTGTGTGTGTGATATTGGTGTCAGGTGTCTCTTGTTTCTCTTTCTCAATCTCTCTCTCTCTCTCTCTCTCTCTCTCTCATTCTTATGGTGAAAAAATGATTTTATATTAAACCTTTCGAAATTACATTCTGTGTATAATAAGTATGGATTTTAGTATAAATTTTCTGTTAGAACTTAACTGTCATGTGTAGTTTGTGTTGTCAAAGATATGAAATATTAAAAATAAATTAAAATATCAGTTATTTTTCATAATTTAAAAATTTATCAACATTTTCAGGGATCATAAATCATTGTGCAAACATAAAACGTAACGTAACATAACATAACTTAACTTTCCGAGCTTGAACTTGAAACTGTTAATAAACAAAAACATTCACTCAAGCGTGTACAAAAAAATGGATGAAATGTTTATTTTTAAAGAAAAATTACGCTTAAAATATTAAAAAATAACAAATATTAAAAGAATAATTTTTGTTAAGACTGATGGAACTGTAAATGTATAAAAAGAAATTGATGCTGTTGTCAGGCGTGAAAAATTAATGATAGTAATCTTATTTTAAATGTATGTTACGAACCGAACCAACCGAGAGACACTCATGAGCATGAATAAAATAAATTATACAAATCTATTGCGATAGAGTTTACTCAAAAAAATCTAGATAGAAGAGTTACGATTACACAAAGAAAGCGACAAAGCCATAAAATTTTATATCAGCAAAAACTAAAAATAACAAAAAAGAAGTTTGTAAACTTCATTATGACTATTTTTCTCAATTTTTCAAAAAATAAAACATAAAAAAGCGCCTCATAAATAAATAAATTCCCGGCAAAAATTCTTCAGCAGAAGCACATAATTCACAATGAAAAGGCCGAGTTAGTCGATCGTCCGTCACCATGATGGATGCCGTTGAGTTCGTTACTAAAGTTTGTCTATCAATGTTTGTCTGCTATTTTATGTTCTGTTTTTTGTTAATATCTATGGTATGTATCTTAAGGTAAGACTGGAAAAAAAATAGAATTAGTTATGTTAACGATTTCGTCTTTCCTCAAAAACATCATATATAAATTAAAAGATTTGTGTCTGGTTTGAGTGTTGTGTGTGTGTAAGTGTTTGTGTGTGTGAATTTGATGGCTTTGCCCCGCGGAAAGCTCAACTCCTTACTGAAAAAACAGTTTGTGTGTGTGTGTGTGTTGTGAGTGCGTTTTTATATGAACACTTGACGTCATCGTGCGGAAGGAAGTGACGTAAGGAAGGAGAACTTCTTTAAATCAAAATGGTAAAATGCGATGCAGTGATGTGATGTGACGTGTTGGAAAGAATTATTTATTTTTTTTTTAGAAATTGCGCAATATAAATGCAAGTTGATTGATTGATTGATTGATTTTGTGATGTGTATGTATTGCGATGAGATGAAACGTTCATCATTTAACTTGCTATTACATCAAAATGCTATTGCATTGAAATACCACAACAACAACAACAACAACAAAAACAACATCAACAACAAGCAACAACAACAACAGCACAACAACAACAGCAGCGCAACAACCAAAAAAACAGCAACATCACCACAAACGTATCTTCCAGTCTCTTCTTCAGCAGCTCCAACTCGGTCCTGGAAAGCCTTCCGTCACTGTTTTTGTCAAACCTCTGCACGAATTTGATGGCTTTGTCCCGCGGAAAGCTCAACTCCTTACTGAGAATGAGAGCCGCTTCATCAAATGAAATGCTGTCCTCGCCGCTGAGTTTGGGAAATTTTAAATTTGGTGTGGGTTTTGAATTTTTTTGAAATAATTAAAAATAATTTAGTAATTAATTACAGAAAATTGAGAAAATTTAATTGTAACTCTATAAAATATCGTTGTCGTAATTAACATCGTGACCAAAGAAACCGATTAAAAATGATCATAATCTCTTTATTTCTAAAAACTTTTGAAGGAACTGTTTAATTTGATAACTGTATGTAAAGAGCGACAAAAAAAATTTGATAGCAAAGAAAGAAAAAATAATTTTTTTTCTCCTACGTGATTTTTGCCTTTATGTCCCCAAATATCGTTCGTGCCTTGTTCAGTGCATAGTTGGCGTATTCTTCGGGTTTCCGGCGCAATGACGTCACCAATTGCTTTGCCGCCTCCGCCATTTTGAAATGTTGTTTGGATATTTCTTCAATCTTTTTTTTTTTGTTGGTATTGAAATTTTTTTTATTATATTTGATGTCGTCGGTGTTGTCGTTGCTGCTGCTGATTATGTTGTTAAAATTAAGGTTGATGAGATGGTATTGATGTTATCAAACTTATAAGGATATTGTTGATGTTATTGCTAGATTTAATCGGCTATTTGTAATTATTTTATTTAGCTAGGACGAATATTTGGATAGTGTTGATGAAGGTGTCGTTGATGTTATCAATGTGATTGTTTCTTGTTGTTGTTAATGTTTGAGTTGTTGATGTGATTGTTATGGCTGTTGATGCGACTAATGCGATTTTTGCAGTTGTTTTTAGTAAGATTGTTGATGTTGTCATATATTCAAGACTGGTTACTGCCAGTTGCTATTGTCTAAAAAATTTTTCATTTCTAACTACAGTTTTTTTTGCACTGATAAACCAAAATCGAAAATTTCTCTTTCTTTTCTCTCCGACTTGTCGGATCGATAACGCACGGAAGATTTTTAAGATGGCGAACAAAAAAGTGGAGGAAGGTTTTGTCGTTCTTTGATGATAGGATGGTGAGATTTGGATGAGATGTTTAGAGAGATAGGGATGAAATGTTTGGAGGGATGTAGATGAAATGTTTGGAGAAGTTTTGAAGTTTTTATAATTCGTTCTTAGATATACACTTTTTTAGGATTCAACCTATAAATATAAATAAATAATTAATAAACGTTAATGAAATATAAATTAATAAAAATGAACAACAATGAAAAGATTATTAACAAATAATTATTAACAAACGATGTTATGTGGTAATAAATATATGGATTTTTCCTTCACTGTTATAGGTAAGTGTAGTTATGTATGTCTGCATTTTATTTCATATATATGTATGTATGTGTGTGTGTGTGTGTGTGTGTGTGTGTGTGTGTGTGTATGTGTATGTGTGTGTGTATGTATGTATTTGTGTGCGTATATGTGTGTGTGCGTATGTGTGTGTGCGCGTATGTGTGTGTTTGTATGCGTATGTATGTCTCAAGTGACTAAGCAACAAAACTGCGTTCAACGTTTTTGAATGTCTGCAAACCGCTTTGTGGCTCTTATTATGTGATTTAACTCCTTCCAACAATAGTAGAATGTGGCTGATGGAAGACACTTTAATGCATTCGTCCGCAATGAACGCGCATGTAGAACATTGTAAAAGGCTGCAAATATTTTAAAAAATACAAGTACAAATATTCAAATACGTTGCAAAACAGTTTGAAAAATAAAAAAATTACACTCTAACTTGCAACGTCCAGGTTCAAATGCAAAGAAAACAGTGCGTTCGATCAAAAATGCAATCGGTAAAAACCACTTGTAAATATATATAGCACTCATATTTACTACTATCTCGTCCATAAGTTCGCATACTGCAAAGTACAAGCTCGACTTTACACCTTATAGACACATGTGCGTGGTATAACCACATGTGCCCTAAATATGCACTGCGTACTATTTTAAATAAACTTGTAGAATGCAAAAACAAATAAATCATACCAATTTTTATTTAAAATATTTATTCAGTTTTATTACTTTTTCAGAATATTTTAGATTTTTTTTTAGAGATTTTTAAATTTTGTTATCCATACGTATCAATTTTGGTCGTTTGCTGAATCAGTATGTATAATGTTAAGAATTCTTGAGGGTTTATTAGTAATTACTTCAAAGATCTTATAGAATAACATTGTAAATAACATTGATGCGTGATAGATTAATGTAAGCAGTAACGTTAAACAACATGAACATGGGTCTGAAGCTGCAAAAAGCTGAACAAAGAACCGACATTGAAAAATTAGATTAGGAGTATAGCGATATAGCACACGGTAGAGACCAATTTGTTGGAGTCACCTTTAAAAGTAGTGAATGTCACATCGTTCTTTATGTTTGTAATGCAGTTTTGGCAATGTGTTATGCTGTTTGCTGTCTGTAGTGCTTGTAATTTAAATGGAAATACTTAATGAATCCAAAAAAAAATCTAAATGTATCACAGCGACATGCTCACGTTTTGAATTAGCCGTGATTCTGTTGGAGCAATCAGGAATGTGATACGACTCGAAACGAGACCATACGAATCGAGACGATACGATATACAGATCTCTTGTATATCTTTTGCATGCAATGTCCTATCTTGTTACACGATTCTCTTACAACTGTAATCTTAAAGGAGAAATTGCGTTATATGCGTATATGTGTGTGCATATGTATGTATATGCGGTGCACACACACACACACACACACACATACGTATATATACTTGTATGTGTGTGTGGTGCGTGCGTGCGTGTGTGTGTGTGTGTTCATGTTAAGACTAATTGAGATGAGATTGGAATGGGATGGCTATTTGGTATCATGTTGCCGGCTAATAAAGGTTTGGTGATACGCCATCAAATATGTTTAGTTAAACATAATAAATAATATAAACATTAATAGCATCGTCATTAGTGTCGTCATCTTCTTCATCATCATTATCATTCTTATTTTTATTAGTAGTAGTAGTAGTAGTGGTGGTATTATTATTATTATTAGTAGTAGTAATAGAGGTAGTAGTAATAGTAGTAGTAGTAGTAGTAGTAGTAGTAGTAGTAGTAGTAGTAGTAGTAGTAGTAGTAGTAGTAGTAGTAGCAGTAGTAGTAGTAGTAGAAGTAGCAGTAGAAGTAGTAGTACTAGTAGTAGTATTAGTAGTAATGTTTTTGTTCATTTATTTTTTAGGGAGCGCTTTTGAGATCTTCTTGTGATTGGCGTTGTACTAGTTGACTTGTAATAATAATAAAAATTATCATGCATCTTAGATCGATCTTTACAACAGTACATACAAAAGAATAAAAATAGAAAATGGAATTTCTGACATTATTCAAGAAAAATGTTTAAAAGACTTTCTACGAACAACGGTTTGTATGTAAATTAGATGATAAACACAGTATTAAAGAAGCATTAAAATTTACCACTTAAATAAAACATTGCTAGAAGCAATAAGAGAAGAAATAACCAAATACAAAAATTTTTACGAAAACATTACAACATTAAAAATAAAACAACCACAACACCAAAACAACAAATACATAGTAAACAACAACAACAACAAAAACGACAACAACAACAACATCAACAACATCAACATCAACAACATCACAAACAGTTTGATATTATTTCTTAAAACTTAAAAACCATCGAGGATAACAGCAGCTCAGCAAGCATTAACATTTTTCGAACAGCCATAAATCAAACAAAACAACAACATTTTTGACATCAACAACAACAACAATATTTAACAACATCAGCAGCAACAACAACAGCAAAACTGTACGAAGAAAATAATTCCTCCCAACAAGCATATATCGATCCAAATGCAGATAAAAAAAAATGGAACAGCAAAATAAGACAAAAAAATAGGACACACAGAATTTTTTTCAAAATTAACTCAAAAAACACTGATAACAACAATAAACAACAACCTCAACAACAACAACAACATTAACATCAACTAAAATCAAAATAAAATGACACAAATATTAACATCAACGCTTACTACAACAATTATAACATTTACAATGTCAGTGGAAATATCTACAATAATCTCAATAAACAACTACAATAACATCAACAGTGGCAGCAACAATAACAAACTAACAAATTCATCACATCTTTCAAGTTCACAGTTTCAATAACAACTTTTGTTATAATTATCTGTGTTTGATAATAGATAACATTGAATTAGGCTACTAAAATAACTTCATTGTCATCTGAAATCAACTGAAAATTTTGAGTCTAAAATGGCAGCAAACAATAAAACAAACAAACAACCCGCAAACAAACAGCCAGTCAACAAACAGAAGCCAACAAACAAACAAACAGACAGACAGACAAACAACCAAAATATAAACAAAACAATATAACAAATGATCGGTGGGTCAATACCACACGGTATCATTACCTCATTTCCGCGAATTGAACAGTGAAAATAACAGAAAAAAATTCAATAATAAAAATAACAACAAAACAGAAATAATAGTATTAATATAAATAATAATAATATCTAAAGCAACAACAACGATTAGATGGATCAAAAATATAATTGATTTTTCTCAAAACCACCATCGAGGCTTTATAAAAACCTTACTGGCACATAACATTACTAACACTGATGATAATAACATGAATAATACAAATATTCATAAAACTAACATTAATAATAACAATAATAATAACAATAAAAATAATAGTAATAATAATAATAATAACTAAGGTGTTTGTTGACGCCAAAAAAAACAGAAATTATGGGAGTTAGAAAAGAAATCCCCAATTTTGGAATTTTTTTTAGAAGTTTGGAGTTTTCAACATCATCCAAATACCTGGATCACATCGTTTAAATAGTTCGTTTGCTTGTTGACTTAGAATTCGGCAAGGAACGTGTACCAGCTTCTCAGCGTAGTTTATAAAAGGCAGAAACAAATTTTTTTATAAAAACTTCTCTGATAATTAAAAGATATCCTTTTGCCACATAATTATGAATACTATACTGGCCACTCCTACAACTACTATGCCTACAAAGACATACACCAACCAAAAAAAATTTATGGGAAGGACGATTTCTAAACTTCATTCAAAACTTTAACACTTGGCCTCTCATGGGAAAGGCTTTGATTTGTACAGTGCAAAAATGACAGCTGACATATAAATAAGAATTAAATCAAAAATAGCACATCTTTTGTTATTATTTTTGTTTGGGGGTATTATTACTACTATTATATTACTATTAATTCTACTAATACAATACTACTACCGCTGCAGTTACAATAGCGATAAAATGATTAGAAATAATAACAACAACTAAACGTTATACAACTAAACAACAACAACGCAATAAAATATTAACAACAAAACAACAGCCCTATGAGAAAAATATTAATAACAACAAAACAATGAATGAAATATCTAAAACAGAACAATGAAGCACGCACACATGTACTCTGGTTGCCAAGCAACTAACAACAAACTTTAAATCATCCGTCATTGTCGTCGTTGGTTCAATGTTTGCGCTACACACACACGCACGCACACACACCACACACACACACGCACGCACACACACCACACACACACACACACGCACGCACACACACCACACACACACACACACACCACACACGCACGCATTTACTTAATATAAAAATTATTTCATATAATTATATACCATACAGTACGTACATGCTTTTATATATTTGTTTGCTAATTTAAGTAATTTGTTTGCTAATTTAAGTTTTTTTTTAATATTTTTCAAGGAAAAATTAAAAATTTAATGATTCTGCATTGTGTCATTTATTTGAATGCACAGCTTACTCGAGCACAATGTACTTAAAAAAAAGAATTGTTAATTTTATTTGAAAAAAAAAAATTTTTCCTGGTCTGTCGAATGGCAACAATCACTCCGAGATAATGAAGGTACTCAGGCATTTCTATTAACGCAAAAAAGTTATTTAAATAAAAGTGATTTAAAAAGTTACGAAAAAAAATGATGCATTAAATTATGTTTTGGTAATAATATAGAAAA